ACGTGATGCTCACCAACCAGTTGTACCTTATCCTGATAAAGAAGTAGATTGTGATGGAAATTTTGGTGTGAATGCTACAAAATCAAGGAGAGAGAGTATGAGACGAGGGTCCAGATTGGAAACATCGAGCCGGGGCAATTTTGGTGGAGAAAGAGATGGCGTATATCAAAACTTCAGGTCTATCAAGTTGACAATACCATCTTTCCAAGGTAAGAGTGATCCTGATGCGTACATTCAATGGGAAAGAAAGCTTGGGCTCGTATTCGATTGTCATTATTATTCCGAAAAGGAGAAGGTGAAGCTCGTCGTCGAAGCGTTAATTGACTATGCAATTACATGGTGGGACCAATTTGGCTTAACTAGGCGGCGTTGTGCCGAACCACCAATTGAAGATTGGGAGTCCATGAAGGCAGCAATGAGAAGGAGGTTCGTTCCTTCCCATTATTATAGGGAATTGAAGATGCAGAGCTTGAGGCACGTTACTAAGTTAGAGGAAAGGAGTCATCGATTTGGAAATCACATAGGAGATCTTCAATGAGCCAAATGAGAGAACCATTACAAAAGCTCAAAGTAGAGGAAATTCTACGAGACAAAGGAGACTACGAGGAATTGACGAGAGAGGGTGATTCGTTATCGTCACTTGAAAAGGAAGATACTCGTGAAGGTTTTGAGTATGAGAACAGTCAAGCGAATTTGGAAATTGCTGATTCAATCGTTGAGGAAGAGGTTAATGAGAGTTCAGATCTCGAGTCCAAGGGGGAAGAAAATAGCAAACCCGCCCCACCAATGGAAGAAAAAGAATGTTCGGATTCGAGGGTGAATCCTTTTGAAGAGGTGGAGAATGATATGATCCAGCCATGCAATGAAGTTAACGCTGAACTAACCGGAGTTCAAACTCCCATTGTGCATTATGATGAGATGGTGGTGTCGAGGTTTGACGTATTGGGGCTTCGAGCTACAAAATACCCACAAGGGTTTATGCTTCAATGGCTGATAGATGGTGTGTTTTGCGATGTGGTGCCAAGATGTGTAAGTTTGCTACCGAAGGGAGAGATCGATTATGAAATCGATTTTGTTTGTACTATTTGTCCAGATTCGAGGACGAATCCTTTTAAAGAGGGGGAGAATGATACGATCCGCACAAGCTCCAAGACAAAGAATTGGAAGAAAAGAAAGCGAGTGATATTAATGGAGCCGTTCGTGTTGGGATTGAATAATAAAGGCTTGAATCAGGCCTTTGAGGAGTCCGTGGTTTGGAACTGGAAAAAAAGAAAGAGAAGAATTGTTGCACAAGTCGAATTCCATGCATCCGAGATTCTCGCCTATTCTGGCAGAGTTTACCATTCAAGTTATAACTCTCGCATATGAAGTCCATTTAAGCTTATTCAAAATGATTCGGAAAGCTAACTGAAAGATCTACAACTTTCATCTTTTGAGCGAAGAGATATTCGAAGTGGAACAGTGTCGAAATTGAGCTTTAATTGCATGAACGTGCACAACCCAATGTCGCGAGTTAAGAAGGGTGATCGAGAAGCCGACTTGAAGATCAAGTTATCTAATTTATTTATGCACGTTTTTTATTTAGTATTTATTATGTTTTTATTATTTTAGAGTCTTTTATGGTTAGGATTTTCTTATTTAATTATTTATTTATTATAGTTTAGGTAAGAGTCATTTTCCTTGCGAAAGAGGAGTCTATTTAGACCTTATAAATAGGTTGTCAATTTGGCTTATTTTAGGGGACGAATTTTAATGAATATTTGAGTATTTTGAGAGTTAATTCTCCTTCGCTGTTCTACAGCATTCTTCGGGAATTTACAAGTGGATTCTTGTAATTTTCTTAGCGCCATTATATTGGTTTCTGGTTCTTTATAACCACGGGGTCAATATTCCACCTTGATAATAATGCTTTCTAGCTCTTTCTAGCTATGGGGTCATTATTCCGTGCTTCCACCAAACTTGAATATTTGTTTTTGGGTGTTTCGATCTTGTTTCCGCGTAAGGTATTAGGGTCTCGTAACAAGTTCTATCGGGTTCGTATCATAAACTTTCGTAAAAATCCGAGAATCCTAGGTGATTGCTTACTTTGCCACCCTCAGAACCGGGCCAACTGTGCGCCTTTCATATATAATACAAATTGACATTATATATATGGCAATTGGCAAATGCTTTAATTGGAATATTTTTTTCTTATTATTAATTTTTCATTTAATATAAACTAAAATTGTTTTGATTTTATAAAGTTTGGGCTATTATAACTGATAAGTGTTCGTTTTGCACGATTTTTGCTTATCAAATCTTCGAGTTTTGGTCTTCGTACGTCCGAGTTTCGGCTTTATTTGTATATATTATTGCGTTTCTTGTTTTATTTCCTTTTTTAGGTTTTGTTAGCTTTTGTTGCCAAGTCGAAGCCATTTGGAAGCGAAACCGATTTTTCAAGCCGAGAAAGTGGTCATTAAGACCCAGATCGCGATCCAGGAAAGTCGGATCGCGATCTGGATGCAAATTCCAGTAGCAAGCAAGTTCAGACCCAGATCGCGATCCAGGAAAGTCGGATCGCGATCTGGTGACAAATTCCAGTAGCATCGTGATTTTGGGGCAGATCGCGATCCGCACTTCCTGGATCGCGATCTGGGATGGCGGTTCACGTTTTTTCGAGAAGCCAGATCGCGATCTGACTTTATTGGATCGCGATCTGACACGATTTTCGAGGGCAGATATTTTAAAAAGCAAAGCTTCTTGAGGAAGCTTTGCAATTTACTATAAACAGAAGCAAGCCCTCACTCTTCGTTCTGCTTCGACTTTTTACGGTTGTCGACAGTTCTTCGCGGGAATCATCAACGGGGGTTCCGACTTGGGTTTTTCTTACGCAATTTCTTTACGTTTTGTTCTTCATTTCCTTTGTACATTCTTTTGACACTATGTTTGTTATGAACTAAGAACATTTTCTTCTAGGGTAATGAAGCCTTGTATATATTGATTTCGATCGTCATTTCTGCTATCTATTTGTCGTGTTTTGATTTCGTTTATGTTTTCTTGTATTAAATGCTTCTGATTGTGTTGATCAGCTCTCAGATTGATATTAAATAGGAATGAACTCGAGAGAGGATTTCTTGTTTGAAGTTAGGAAAACATAGCTCGGGGTGTGGAAACGGAGTCGTGATGCACTTCGGGTAGCCCTTAAGGACTTGACCTAAATGCTCTCTTAATAGCAGGTTCTGAACGGAGACGTCGGACCTGTGGGTAGACTCTAACTACACTGGAGACGGGGGTTAGAGTACATTAGCGTCTGGGTTAACGAATAGGAATGTGACATTAGATAACGGATTTGTAGATCGTTATTGATTATACATAGGGGGATTTGGCCCTAGAAGTCCCCTTTAAATCGAAGTCCCCCCGCGTTGAGTTGTCGTTACTTTATTTACGTACATTCTAAATTTGCATGTTTACGATCTTGCATGCTTTCAAATTAGGGTTTCTCACAATTCCAAATATTTACGATCGGCTAGATAATATAACGATAATATAATTACACTACTCAGCATGTGAATCTACAAGGTCCCTGTGGATCGATTTCCGGAACCACTGTTCTGCAAAATGCGATACTGTATACTTGCGGTAATTTATACCTGAGGAAAACGCGTATCAAGTTTTTGGCGCCGTTGCCGGGGACCAATTTGATTTTATCTTTGTTGATAGTGTTACCAATTATCTGATTATTACTTTAGCCATTTACTTGTTTTATTTTTCGATTTTTACCTTGATTTTAACCACTCACTTTGTTTATGCCCATGCGTCGAAATTTGGAAATCATACCTTACGATCCCGAGATTGAAAGGACATTACGTAGACTAAGGGCCACGCGCAACCAACAAAGTGAACCAATGGCCGAAGATCAAGGAAATCCAGAGCACCTGGCCTTTGAGTACGATCGAGAGCCAGGACGAGATCACGAGCAGCCAAGACCGAACCTGCCACCCGAGCGAACAATGCGAGAATACCGAACTCCAGCTGTGAATGAGAACTATTCGGGAATCAGAAAACCGACGATAGTCGCAAACAACTTCGAGCTGAAGACGGGGCTAATCAACATGGTCATGGCGAACCAATTCTCCGGAGCAGCCACTGCAGATCCAAATCTCCATCTTGCCAATTTCTTGGAGATTTGTGACACGATCAAAGTTAACGGTGTTTCTGATGATGCCATCCGGTTGAAGCTATTCTCATTTTCTGTCAGAGACAAAGCAAAGAGTTGGCTTCTGAGTCTTAATCCAGGATCACTCACCTGTTGGGAAGAATTATCGCAAGCCTTTCTGGCACGATTCTTTCCACTCTCGAAGACCGCACAACTACGAAGATATGTAGGCAATTTCAGACAGATGAGCCAAGAGCCGATGCACGAGTCTTGGGAGAGATTCAAGGACTTATTACGACAATGCCCTCAACACGGATTCAACCCGTGGGATCAAATGGAGTTATTCGACAATGGACTCGATCAACCAGCCCGCTCTCTAGTCGATGCTGCCTCAGGTGGATCATTGCAAAACAAGACTCCCACAGACGCTCGAGACATTGTCGAGCGAATGTGTGAGAATGCTTACCATTGGCCGTCCGAATGGAGTGGTGTACAAAAGGTGGCCGGAGTCCACCAACTCGATCCTTTAGCCGCAGTTTCAGCACAATTAGCTACTCTATCAAATCAGGTCGCCCAATTATCAGTTCGAGGGCCACAGACCGAAAGAGTAGCAGCAGCAAGTACCTCACAAGCCACAAACGACGATTGGGAGCAGGCACACTTTATGAACCACCGATTCAACAATTTCCGGGGAACCAACAATCAGAACCAAAACCCTACTCATTACCACCCGGGAATTCGGAATCACGAGAACTTCTCCTAAGCCAATCCAAAGAATGCTCGACAACCACCTCTCGATGTCAACCATCAAAGAGAGCAGCGAGGGTCAACGTATGACAAGCGTCTTCACCGACAAGAACAGGAAATGGAGGGCCTGAAATCAACAATGAAGAACATGGAAAAGCAAATAGGGCAAATCGCCCAATCCATGTCCACAATGGCCAAGGGTGGATTTCCGAGCAATACCGAAGTCAATCCAAAAGAAAGCTGTCAAGCCATAACCACCCGAAGTGGTCTGCAAATGACCGATCCTCCTTATCCGACTGACGAGTCACCAAGGCCACCTGTACAACCGACCCCGGTCGAGCCGGAAATCACCATTTCAATGAGTAATACAAAAGAGGCTAGTAAGCCCAATAACATTTCTTTTCCTGATAATCCCCCTCTTATGATAACTCCTATTCCTTTTCCAGAAAGACAGAAGAAGAAGAAGTTCAAGGATCAATTGAAAAAGTTCATTGAAAAAATCAAACAGATTCGAATCAACATCCCTTTTGCAGAAGCCTTGGAGGTAATGCCAAACTACACCAAGTTCATGAAGGAAGTCCTATCCAAGAAAATTCGGATCGAAGAAGACATACCAGTGACACTCACGGCAACTTGCAGTGCTATTCTTCAGTCGAATCTACCACCGAAAATGAAAGATCCAGGGAGTTACACTATTCCTTGCATTATTGGAAATTCTACTTTCGATAAAGCTTTATGTGATTTGGGGGCAAGTATTAATTTGATATCTATGTCTGTGTTTCTAAAACTGGGCTTAGGAAATTTGAACCGCACTCGCATGACTTTACAACTAGGCTGATCGTTCATTGAAATATCCCGATGGGATTGTAGAAGATGTGCTAGTTAAAGTAGATAAATTCATTTTGCCTGTTGATTTTGTGGTACTTGAAATGCCTGAAGATGATGAAGCACCAATCATTTTAGGTCGTCCATTCTTAGCCACTGGTAAGGCGATGATTGATATGGAATTAGGATCTTTAATGCTTAGGGTAAATGGGGAATAAGTTGTTTTTAATTTGACAGATGCATTTAAACACTCTGAGCATGTTGGGCATTGCAGTAGAATAGACGTGATCGAGGACTGTGTTTCCTCCTTTTTTTATTTGTATGAATTATGTGATTCTGTTGAGCACTGCATTGTTAATTCTATTGATTTGCATTATGCCTCCCCTGAAACTCCTATTGAAAATGATGTGCTTGATTGTGTGTTGTTTCTTGAGTGTGCCGAGACTTTGGGCGTAGACGAGGTAGGAATCGTCCCCGAGATACCAGCTAGTGTGAAAACGGCCCCCGTACTGGAATTGAAGCAATTACCGGATTATCTTTGTTATGCTTTTCTTGGAGCAGACAAGACTTATCCGGTGATTATTTCTTCTAGTTTGAGCGAGGCCGAAACAAACACACTGCTGGAGGTCCTTAGAGAATATAGGTCAGCTATAGGTTGGTCTATTGAGGATATTAAGGGAATTAGCCCGTCTATTGTTCAACACAAAATTCTAATGGAAGACTACTATAAACCGAGAGTCCAACCTCAGAGGCGGTTAAACCCGTCAATGAAAGAGGTAGTCAAAAAAGAAGTCTTAAAACTGTTAGGTGCTTGTATGATTTATGCAATTTCTGACAGTCCATGGGTCAGTCCGGTGCAGGTTGTGCCAAAAAGGGGTGGGATGACGATTATTGTGAATGATAAAAATGAACTTATTCCGTCTAGAACAGTCACTGGGTGGCGTGTGTGTTTCGATTACCAATTATTGAATGCAGCCACTAGAAAAGACCATTTCCCCCTTCCCTTTATCGATCAAATGCTAGACAGGCTAGGAGGTTTCGTGTATTACTGTTTTCTTGATGGTTATTCGGGGTACAATCAAATTTCAATCGCCCCGGAAGACCAAGAGAAAACTACTTTTACTTGCCCCTACGGTACTTTTGCATTTCGTAGGATGCCTTTCGGTTTGTGTAATGCGCCTGCTACCTTCCAACGATGTATGATGTCTATATTTCACGATATGGTAGAAGAGTTTCTTGAGGTGTTTATGGATGATTTTTCTGTGTTTGGATCGTCTTTCGATCATTGTGTGCACAATCTAGAACTTGTTTTGAAAAGATGTACAGAAACGAACCTTGTTTTAAATTGGGAAAAATGTCATTTTATGGTTCGTGAAGGTATTGTTCTAGGTCACAAGGTCTCGAAAAAGGGTCTTGAGGTGGACAGGGCAAAAATCGAAACGATTGAAAAATTGCCTCCACCGAAGGATGTCAAGGGGGTTAGAAGTTTTTTAGGGCATGCTGGGTTTTACCGTAGATTCATAAAAGATTTTTCTAAAATAGTAAAACCATTATGTCATTTACTTGAGAAGGAAGCTGTCTTTGATTTTGATTCTGCTTGTTTGCAGGCTTTCACGTTTCTCAAGGAGAAGCTAATCCAATCACCGATCATGATTACTCCCAATTGGGAGGAACCATTCGAGATCATGTGCGATGCGAGCGACTATGCTGTAGGTGCAGTATTGGGACAAAGGAGGGACAAAATCTTCAAAGCCATCTACTATTCGAGTCGTACACTTAACCAGGCACAGAAGAACTATTCAACGACCGAAAAAGAAATGCTTGCTGTCGTTTATGCTGTTGACAAGTTCAGACCGTATATTTTGGGGTCTCAGGTGATCATTTACACCGACCACGCAGCTATTCGATACTTGTTCGCAAAGAAGGACGCCAAGCCCAGACTCATCAGATGGGTACTCCTACTCCAGGAGTTCGACTTGGAAATCAGAGACAAAAAGGGGAGCGAGAATGTGGTAGCAGATCATCTTTCCAGACTCATACTAGAAAAAGTTCCAGCCGAAGGAAATATTTAGGAATCGTTCCCAGACGAGCAACTGCTCGCCATTAGTACTCACACTCCGTGGTATGCTGATGTGGCCAACTTCTTGGCCAGTGGAATCATTCCTGACGATCTTTCTTATCATCAAAAGAAAAAATTCCTTCACGACAGTCGTTTCTATCTTTGGGACGAGCCATTGCTTTTCAGAACCGGCCCCGATCGTGTCATCCGAAGATGTGTTCCGGAAACAGAAGTACGTGAGATTCTCACACATTGCCACTCGTCACCTTGTGGCGGGCATCACGGGGAATCTCGCACAGCCGCCAAGGTTCTGCAGTCAGGCTTCTTTTGGCCAAACCTTTTCCGAGATAGTTACGAGTTCGTGAAACGATGTGATCGGTGCCAACGAACAGGGAACCTATCCAACAAAAGCCAAATGCCTTTGAACAACATGCAAGAGGTGGAGCTTTTCGATGTTTGGGGCATAGACTTCATGGGACCATTCCCTTCTTCGAACGGAAAGTTATACATTCTGCTTGCCGTGGACTACGTGTCCAAATGGGTCGAAGCAATTGCCACCACAGCCAACGATGCTCGTACGGTCCTCAAATTCTTCCACAAGAACATAATCTCAAGGTTTGGGACACCCAGGGCGATCATTAGCGATGAAAGATCTCACTTCTGCAACAAACTGCTCACTAATCTCACGAATAAGTTGGGGATCTGACACAAAATTGCGCTAGCCTATCATTCACAGACAAATGGCCTTGCTGAGTTGTCAAACCGAGAAATCAAACAGATTCTGGAGAAGACCGTGAGCACGAACCGAAAAGATTGGGCATTGAAGCTCGATGATGCACTTTGGGCCTATCGAACCGCATTCAAGACACCGATTGGGATGTCTCCGTACAAACTCGTGTATGGGAAAGCGTGCCACCAGCCAGTGGAATTGGAGCACCGAGCTTATTGGGCAGTCAAAAAGCTCAATTTCGATCAAACAGCTACCGGCGATCGTCGATTGCTTCAACTCAACGAAATGGAGGAGTTCAGAAATGATGCTTACGAAAATGCCAAGATTTACAAAGAAAAGACGAAAAAGTGGCATGACAAAAGAATTACAAAGCGAGAGTTCCGGGCAGGTGACCAAGTCCTGCTATTCAATTCTCGGCTACGACTATTTCCGGGAAAGCTCAAGTCCCGTTGGTCAGGACCATTCGTAGTCCTGAGCGCAACCCCACAAGGAGTAATCGAAATGCGAGGACGAGACGGTACGTCGTTCAAAGTGAATGGGCAACGAGTTAAGCATTACTACCCGAATGGTGCTCCCGAAGAAGTGGAGCGTGTCGCACTAATTTTCTCCCAATAAATCCAAAAGAAGTCGAGCCGTCGACTGTAAAACAGGCGCTAAATGGGAGGCACCCCATTGTTGCTCATTATCTGTCATTTTCCTTTTGATCTTGTTTTCATTTTTATTTTTTTCATTTTCGTGCATTTTTATATTTTAGGGTTCAACATCTCTATCTCACCCATTTAAATTTTCGTTTTGGCAGGTTTTAGGTGTCCCGGATCGCGATCCAGGTAAGTCGGATCGCGATCTGGGGTGTTTTTCCAGTAGCAGCGAGTTTTGGGCCCGGATCGCGATCCAGGTAAGTCGGATCGCGATCTGGGGTGTTTTTCCAGTAGCCACCAATTTTGGGTCCGGATCGCGATCCAGGTAAGTCGGATCGCGATCTGGGACGTTTTTCCAGAAACTGCGATTTTAAGGGCCGGATCGTGATCCACGTAAGTCGGATCGCGATCTGGGGCCTTTTTCCAGAAGCTGCAAGGTAAGTCTCCAGATCGCGATCCGGGTATTGTGGATCGCGATATGGGGTCGAAAAACAGTTCAAAAGCCACAAACCCCCCCTTCATTTTCTTATTCCCCCTTTTTCTAATTCCAAACCCTAACCCCTCCCCAATTTCAAAATCTTCAATTTCTTTTATAAAAAGCACATCAATCACACACTTGATCATCACAAATTCACGATTTGCACATTTACTCCAAGAATTTGTGGGTGAATCTTCAAGAAAAGGTAAATTTTCAATCTAGTCCTCATTTTTTTTATTTTCTTCAATTCTTTCGAATTTCCCCAAAATTTCATGATTTTTCCCCTTGTTTGTTAATTTTGTATGCTAGTACGTGATTTTGTACTTGGTGTTGGGATTCAAAACATGAATTTGCGGGTGAACCAATGTTTAGATATAGGAATTGCCCTATTGTTCTTAATTTCGAAATGAAGGATAAAATAAAAATTTGAATGACTTGGGTTGGTTGTTTAGCTACCTATTGTTGTATGTAGTGGTGGATTCTCACTTGGGTGTTGTGATTGATGTAGGAGGGATAGGTACCGAACAACCGGTGGAAACCAAAAGGCTTACCAAGTTGGGCACGCCAAGTGTTCGACAAAATTCCCGAACGAACTTCCAAAAGCTTTCGACCCTCCATCTCGCACAAATTCGAACGAAATGACGTCGCCGGCCAAGAAACTCTTAAAGATGGGCGAAACCACAAAAAAAGCCCAACCAAATGTCAAGGAAAAGGCTCCGGCAAAGGGAAAAGCCGCACCGAAGAAAAATGCAGCTTCTCGAGGCACGGGAAGCCAAGAAGGCACTTCGAGCGCACCACAACCATCTGAGGTGCGGGAAGAGCAACAAACCCCACGCACGGGAAATGTGCAACTTGAGATGGGCTCCCGTGCTAATCAACACACCATCCTTGACCACGTAGTCCTCGAACCGGGAGATGAGTTTTTGTACGTGAACGTCGAGGCCAAGAGAGAATTTATACGTCGCCATAGCCGACCGTTTGTTCCAGAAAGAGAATTAGATATCTATGGCATGGAAAAAGAATCGATCAGAACAAACTTTGATCGTCGAAAATGGGAGTACTTGGCCAAACGACCGGAGGACTACAACGAGAATCTTGTGAGGCTTTTCTATGCCAATGCCGGTTTTCACGAGGGGTCGGTGGTCGTTATTCGAGACAAAGAGGTGCGCTATGACGCCCCTACAATCAACATTTTTTTCCACATACCCGAAGTCCCGACCGAGCCGTTTCAACAACTGAAGATGGCAACGACCTATGAGCAGCTGATTCAGACTCTTTGCCCTAGGGGTTCGAGGTGGAAACGAGGAGAGCAC